TTATAAAACACGATTTGGTGACTGCAAAAGGAAGACACATCCCAAATGTGGAGCCACACATACACTAATTAGCTAAGAACAGCTAATTAAACTCCAGCTCCCACTTTGCTAAATTACATTCACTTAAACCCGTATATTTATGTGCCGGCTATTGATCAAAGCAGACTGTAATCATGTAATGCACCAACACTCATGAAACTGGTGGAACATCACTTATAAAGTGGATCTTTAGAGATTCTTCCTCTTTAGGCCAAAATAGGTGGAAAGTTTGTGGGAGCAGCAATTTAATCTGTTTCCCTGTTTTGTTATTATCCTGGGAGGATTAAAGATAGCTTCTATGCTCTGGACAGTGTTTTAATCCCTTTAAGGGTGATTAAGGTGGACGAAAACACAAACTCCTTTCTGCTGGCTCTTGGAGGAGCTGAGCAGTTTGTTTTCAGCAGTGCGTTGTTAGTGAAGGATGGAGGCCGACGTGTCTTTCTTCTGCTTTCTCAATCACAAAATAATTCAAACAAGCCAATTATTAAATGGCAAATAGACTATTCTAATGTAATTCATTATTCATCACCTGCCCATATGGTTTGATTATATTAGCAGCTACATAACTTCACGAGAGTAATTTTATTTACTTTTGGAGGCATTTTCAACAAGGCTTGCTTGCTTGGCCACTTTAGCTCATTTTTATTTCTTCAGTTTTTATATGTTGCTGCACTTTTTCATGTGGACATGCTTTATGGGAGATAAGTGAAGGTTCTTGCATTGATAAAAGAGAAGGAAATGTATTTGAAAGGTTGTACATTTGCATAAAAGCAAGCAGTGATAAAAGAATCAGCCAGCGCCATATTTAAATGTTTTCCTCCCTGTGTGAAACTTCTCTTAGCATTCAAGAGCCTTGGGTGGTAACTGATTAAAAATCAGCTTGCCCTTGAATTCAACATGTTTTCACAATACAAAACAAATGTTCTGATAAAAAAAACTTGGTGAGGGTTTATAAGTGAAATGGTGTAAAACGCTGAAGACCTTCTTGAAGCTAAAGCAAAGAGTCAACAAATCTGTCGGATGGGATAACAGCGTAAAACGTCAGAAAGCAAATGGAGCGTTCTCCCTCTGGTGTTTTAATTACTCGGCAACAGCACGGGGAACGGCCCATCCTCGTATCTGTTAGCTTTAGCTAGATAAAGCAAATGTGCCTCCAAAAGCAGAGAGTTTAAGATTGAAGCTGAAAGAATGTAAAAATAAAAAGAATCATGCTTTCCAGTGATGAGTGCAGCTAAAATAAACAGGTGCAAGCAGAAAATCCAAGAGCAAAAAACAATTTCTAATTGGATGTCTGTTCCATTCAACCAGCAGGCAGCGGTGTGAAGAAAGCAGATATTGTTTCCTGCCTTTCTGAAGAGTGTCACTGTGGAAAACAAACAAAACAAAATAAACAATAATAATCCTATATCTCTTGCTGTAGCCTCCTGAGCCATCCCTGTTCGGGGAAATAAATTTTACCTGAGGACTGATAGGCTAACCTCTAGGCCAAGAGATGACCAACGTGTGCATGAATGAATGTCAAAGTTCATTTTACTGAGAAAAGTTTAACTTTTGCAGTTTGTGCTGTTGCTGCCAACTAACTCTGAGAAGAGAGTAATTTACTTAATTCTGCACGGGGGCTCCAAAGGAACACATTTAAAACATGTCAGCAGCTGCATTTAGTCTCCTTAAGCTTCACCTAACAGTCAACCTGGGGTGGGGAGTGGAATTTTTTATTTAAAATTGTATTATTTTATTTATAAAAGGTCAATAATGTGTGTGAAGCGAGGGTATTTTGTTTTCCATGGTGATAGGGGGCAGTACATACCTAACGCCGTGCAAGCAAGCAGTATTTTTGTGTTCAAGTAAGACCTTACCAACGGCTGGCCATTAGGGTCTAAAATCTCTGCGAGAGCACCTTCGTCAGATTGTTCAACCTCCAGCAACATAACAAGCTCATCAGACTCCCTTTCATCCCTAACGAGTGAAGATGTAAACGTGTAAAACATCATTTATGAATGGTGAAAGTTTTCTAACTTACAAATCAGTAAATTTTGTCCTCATGAGCTCCCGTAGAAGGAAACATTCTATCTAACATGGCCTCATCCAGAGACTTAGACCCACTCCCATATATTTTAGATCTGATTTTGATGGTTATATGTCACAAAGCCGCCAATATTTATCGACAACTGGTCAGCATTTATTAATTTTCAACAACATTTTGATGGATGTTTCCAGAGATTAACGGTAAAAACTACACCTTTGTAACAGTGCATTTCAACACAGCATGAGAGCTGATCACAGGTCATAATAGAACAGAGCAAAAACAGTTAAGTAAAAACTACTGTAATACGAATAAGCAGTAAAAACAAGTAAAACAACCAAGAAAACAACACAAGACAGTAAAAACAAGCCTAAAACATGGTCATACGCCAAAAACCAAGTCACACAAAAGCGTCTCCAGTCTTGACTTGAAAACCAAAACCGATAAAGACTGCCGTATTGAGAGCGGGAGGGAATTCTGAAGGACTGGTGCGACATGCACAAATGCCCTATGTGTGCACCGGCACAAAGGGCATGACTCGTGAGCAGCTCTGGTATGAAGGAGGGTGCAAGGCCAGTCAATACCTTGTAGACAAAGAGTAAAATGTTTAAGTGCAACATGAAGGTCACAGGCAGCCAGTGTAGAAGTTCCAAAACCGGGGTTGTGTGACTTCTAATGTTTGTGTTTGTCAGAAATCTAGAGTTCCCAGAAATCCATGTGCGTTCCCTTCAGTCAGCGGAGCAGACTATCGACCGTGCCCACGCAGACAGAAATCTCGTGGGAGCTGCTGGCCAACGTGAAGAAGGCCCAGTCACTTGACAGTTTAAGAGCAAACATCAGTTTTCTCTGGCTTGTGGACATGGAGGTCAGGGTTACAGTAGGTGGGAAGCCTTGATTTGATTGTTCAGTCTTCTCTTTATCAAATGGTGGCTCAATCTGGATTGTTTTAATTTCTTATTTTCTTTTTAAATTGTATCTGAGAATAGTCTGATGCGTTTTCTTTTGATGAAATTCTGGTTTTAATTCTGGTTTTGGTGTACTGTGCTTTGTTTGTCCTGGGGATGTGAAAGCACGATATAAATAAAGTTGAATTTAATGATATTTATTTTTGATTTAGAAGTATTCAGGCTAAATCTTTTGGAATAAATTTGACTCTTATTTATTTTGAACCCTTTGACCTGCTAGTCAGCGGTTTGAGATACGCTGTAAAATAAACAATAAAACAAACAAACCTTCAGACGAGACTTCAGATCAAAACTGTTGAGTTAAATAACCCCTGAATAGTCCCATGAAACATGCAGCCTAATTAAGGAACACGAAGAAGGTGCCGGTCATGGGCCATCATAATAAAGCCGAGAGTCTCAGCGAGCGCAGAGAGCTGTCACATTGCTGTGACATTAAAGCACCATCCTGTTGGCAGATTGAAGCTATTCTGCTGAAAAAAAGACTCTTAATATGTCATTAGGAGACATTAGCAACATGACACGGACCGCAGATGGATCCAAATTACACACCAATTAAATGTCAGTCGATGAGCCGGTAGATGAGTCAGTGGGATGAGTGTGGAGGTTTCACGCACGTTGTCATGCATTTTAAGAAGTTTATTTCCCTTAAAAAGGTGAAGAAGTGAGAGAACTGGCTGCGTGATGTGGCACCAAATGCCTGGAGATACGTGTCACCATGCAGGTCTGTAATGGATATGTCTCATCAGGCCAGATGCAGTGAACAGTAGGGCTGCAGCTATCGAATATTTTTGTAATTGAGTACTCTATCGAATCTTTTATCGATTAATCGAGTACTCTAATAAATGACTCTTTTGCGTTTTTAAACCATTATATCAAACAGCATGTTATAAAATATGAAAGACCTCTTGAAATGAGCGAGCAATCGCCAGTTATTCTTCAAGTTTTATTCAAATTTAGTTTTCAAAACTTCAGCACTTGAACTTTACTTCACAGTAAACAAATGCGAGCGGCTGCGGCCCAAACCACACCAGAACCGCTCACGGCGCATGCGCAAACATGGCTCGCCAGCTGTTTCCCTATTAACACACGCCTGTTTTAATTTCTACACTTTTTTCTCACACTAACAAGGATTGTCGAAAGCATGTTTGCCGTGGTTATGTCAAATTATACTGACCACAAAACATTTATTTACTTTCTTTCGTTTTCCTTCCGCCACTCATACATACCCGTGTCCTCCTGTAGAAATCCCGAGGGACAATGGACATAAATAACAACACAGTAAAAAGTCCGACGTGTTGTAAAAACTGCTATTTTTAGCACATTCTAAGACTGACGTGTTGCTACCAGACACACAGTGTGAGCTGAAACTGAGCGCTACAAATGAAAAAGTCGCACAGTGTCCGCAGAATATATAGAAATACAGGCTAAAATGCATTATCTTGTAGAGGCTCCGAGTCCGCTTGCAGAAGTGACATTTACACGTGGATGTTTCCTGGTCAGGTGCTGCAGCATGGAGGACGTGGTGGTGTGGTAGGCTAAATCCATTTTACAGTTTTTACACTGGACTACGTTTTCCGCCTTACGACGTGAAAAATGGTCCCACACCTTTGGCATTTTGTGTCTTTTTCACACTCCACCGGGGTCCACATTGTCCGCCATGGCTTAAGAGAAAGTTAAGTTACATTCGCTACTCGCGTGTGCATTCAGTGCAGTGTGTATGTGCGTCACTTATTTCGGTCCGGGTGAAACTTGACCCCGGGTGATTGCAAAGCCATGAATTAATTAAACATGAATTAAACGAAGCCTCAAGGCAGAGAATTTGACTCGAGGATTTTTTGTACCCGAATTATTCGAGGTACTCGAGGAATCGTTTCAGCCCTAGTGAACAGTGCAAACGTTTCATGCGTGAGGCTGATGTTATTCCATATTCCCATTCCCAGGTGGCGGCGGAGAACAAACAAAGAAGCACCTACTTAATCTGTGAAGTGAGTATTTACTTAGGTCAGGCTTGAGGGTCATCTCATACGAAGGCTGCAGATGGCTCAGGTTCTGGAAGGACCTGGAGAGGCTCAGGTCGAAGGGCTCTGTGGCTGAGGTCAGGATGTTGTTCATCCGCTGGGGTCTGTCTGCAGGAAACAGGAGAGGAAGTGGTGCACTGCAGTCATTCTGAAACTCAGAAGGCAGGGAGGGGAAGGGATGCAGCAGGGAAAAAATGCTAAACTGAGGATTAAGGTGACGTTTGAGATCTTTTAGCTGGAAAAGAACCAAAGCATAACACATTTACTCAAAATTAAACCGTTTGTAGAAGATTAGAATCATCAGTCCAATTTTATTTACCTCATGGAGCCTCAGACACGTACAAGAACAATGACTTTGATTGTGTGAGAATGTGATTTTAAAACCAAACACTGTTATTGTGTTGTTCTTCTCAGAGGGACTGGCCTCCTGCCAGGCTGCCTTTCTAAATGAGATTCATATCATCTTACTTTGTTAAATGTTTACCTTTGCGTGCCGGTAACAAATGTCTGTGTGAGGCACTCACTGGATGGTGTAACCAGGCTGGACCAATCAAAGAAGCTTTTCATGTCCAGAGCTGGAGGCACTGCCACCAGCTCTCCAAGCTGTTGTCAGGTGAATGTTGTGGTTTGAGCTGAATCTGTGTTTGGACTGGTCTGAACAATAGCCAGGAGGCACAAGAGCATCCCTAAAACCCCAGATGAACAGCAGGACTGGATCCACGCTGCTTAGTAACAAGCTGGTGAGGTCCCAACAGCTCCGAACCAATTATGGACTCTAGTTTTGAAACTATAAAATGCTTCTTCTCGGGAAGATAAACTTTGTGGTTGATGATAATCCTGTGTTCACAAGATAAGGTCTTTATAAATCAAAACACGTTTAAAATAAACTTATAGATTCTGTTAGGCTGCAGCTCTGTTTTACTAGACATACATTCATGACCATTCTGTTTTCAACCAGCAATTTTGTATTTCATAACTTTGACATAAAGCTGATCAGTTGTTATCTAAAGGTTTTTAATTAGACAATCATGAGAAGATCCGATTTCTTTGTTTCGCCCAATGTTTTCTCTTATTTTTCCTTTTTAAATGTTTTTATTAACGTCTTTTTATTCAGCCATCAAAGTCTTACCCACCGTAGCGTTTGGAAAAAAGAATAAATAAATTAGCTCCTTCCAAGTAAATGTTTTATGTCTCTGTAAGGAAAAAGTACAGAAATAAAATAAAGAGGTTGCTCTCTTCTGTTCACTATGAAGTCAGGAGGTTAAGCAATTTTAGACAGACTTAGAAATTGGATCAATATTTCTTCACTTGCCCTTTGAGGCTCAACAGCAGCAAAACTTTATTTGCCTCTTTCAGAAAAGAAAAAGTTGTTTTGCCCCTAAACTGTTGTAATAATAATCATAACATCAAGAAAGAAAGTAATAAGAAATGTGACCAGACTAAAAATGTACAATAAGTCTATTTTTCTCTGCTGCACCTCTGCCAGGTTTCTTCTTCTGTGTTGGTTTACTCTGGTTCTTCTCAGTTCTTCTTAGTTTTCCCAAGTGTCATGTTATGTTTCCCTTGTGTCTTTTGTTACTTTCTCCTTGTGCGTTCCTGTCTGTTTCAGTTTTTATCCGTGCCTCAGTGTTTCTACTGGATCTTTTTTTAATACTTTGTTTATGCTGACGACTGTCAAAGTTATCTGACCACGAGCAGACCAGATGCTGTCCCTCTCCCTCACCACTGCTTATCAGAGGTGAGGAGTTGGTTAGCTGCAAACTTTCTAAAGCTAAGCTATTCTTTTTGATCTTCGTATTCCCTCACCAACCCTTTGTCTCCAAATGTGATCAGCTTTAGGGTCAAATTAGATGTTGTCCCCCCCCCCCCCCCCCCCCCCCCGCATTTAAGATCATTTATACTTGCTTTTCGATCTACAATCCAACCACCACGTATGGTCACGAGCTTTAGGTAAATACCAAAGGAATGAGACTGTGGATACATGTGGCCAAAATGAGTTTTCTCTGTAGAGTGGCTGGGCTCTCTCTTAGAGATAAGGTTAAGAAAGGTTAAGAAAACATGAAAGCTTCAAAAGTATTAGTATCAGCACCTCTCTGACAGCATGGTGGGAGTATCTTAAAATGACAGAGTCTTCACTAGTACCATGCAGACACACACCTATCTGGAATAATCCTGCTATTTTGCAAAAGAATAAAATGATGAACCTTCCGGACTGGAAAAGTAAAGGAATCCTATACCTGGAACACATATATGAAGGATTGGACTTCATCCCATTTAATCGAATAGTCTCCCAATTTGGAATGGATAAGAATAGCTTTTTAGAATATCACCAAATTAAATCTGTAGTCAAACAAAAATTTAAGCTCAATAAAATAGAATTACAAACACCACCAAGGGTATTTGACTTCTATAATCTCAAACCCCCCAAACTACTGTCTAAAGTATATAAGACACTGTCCAAAATAGACGATAGAATAGTACTCCCTATTGAAAAATGGGAGATGGATCGATCAGTCAGCTTTGACCAGAACTTCTGGTCCCAAATTTGTTTAAAAACTTTTAAAATGATCAGACACCCCAATTTACAATTAATTCAGTACAAAATTCTACACAGAGTACACTATACAGGTCATCGGATGTTCAAGATGGGGTTTGTTTCATCTGGCACATGTACACACTGCACAAACAACATTCCTGACAATTACATTCACGCACTGTGGTCCTGTCCACCTGTCCAGGAATTTTGGGGTAGAGTATGTGAGGATCTGTCAAAATGTCTGAAATGTCATATCCCAACTTCCCCCTCTCTTTGTTTACTGGGAAACCTGGACGATGTCCCGATTGAAACATCTTTGGCTCACGTGGTTCTGACTGCCATATGCATCGCTAAGAAAACTATCCTCATGAATTGGAAAAATAGAGAAACTCTTTGCATTAACCATTATAGACATCTTTTGTTAGATCATATTGCACTTGATATAGCCTCTGCTCCCACTTCAAATCAATTTATTTGGGCTCCTTTGATCGGTTCCATCACATAGCGATGACGGGGACCATTGATATTGTCCTGCGGGATGATGTGGGTGAGGGGATGGGGGGTCTGAGTTTGGAGTATCTGGACGTTCCCTGAGGCTGGGTTTACTGGCGGCGTCTGGGGCAGGGGGGCTGCTACCCACCTCTGGAGGTGCTTGGGTTGCCTCGAGGGGTGGACTACTGGCGGTTGTGAGTGAAGCCTGATTCATGCTTCTCCGTCTGCGTCAGTGCGGAGACACGCCACGTCCTTGCGGGCCTGCCGGAGAGCTCCGCAAGGACGGACGGGGTCGAGCTCTCTTTTCTAAACATCCATCAGTCGAGATGGACAACGCAAGCTTGTGATTGGTCAGGACGCCGCTGTCGTCTACACCGCCGGCATTGCGTCCTCAAAAACATAAAGAGAGCCGTGGATAACTAGCGAAAAAACTCTAAAAACATGAACGTTTAATTCCCCCTTGACTGGAGGAGTGAAAAGATGTGCAGCAAGCATTTTATTTGTGGACGAAAATGACAGGAAACGTGGGTTTAGAGGTGGTGAGCGCATGAAGAGGTGGAAGAGGATGAGAGACAAATTTGTCTGTGATAAAAAGTCTCTTATATGCAAAAAAAAAAAAAAAAAAAACACACTATCTTGGACCGTTGCATGACAGGATACCACAAAACAGGGCTACGCCCTCTGTTGTCCTGCCGGGGAATTGCTTTGCAACACTCCCCAGGAGACGGAGAAGTATGAGAGCAAAACGCTTCCGTCAATCCGTGCGTGTCTGTCCCTTGCAGAGCTGACAGAGAAGCATGAATCAGGCTTAAGGCCCCTTGGGGGTCTTGGCAGTGGCCATGGGATACTGCCTGGCAGCTGCATTGCCCCTGGGCGGGTCTGGGTGGGGGCCTGGGGGCTCGGGGGTGGCCGGCCCCGTGTGGGGATCTGTGCAGGGCCTTGGGGTCAGTTCCTGACATGTATGCTGCCGGGAAGAAGGCAGGAACATGCAGCAGTGCCTGGCCCGGGCTCAGGGGCCTCAGGTAGACCTTGGCTCCTCTGCTGTCCATCACAGGGGAAGGGGATGTCCAGGAGGGGGAGGACCCAACTTTACCTGGATGTCCTATGTCTTATATATTCTGGAAGCTGTGCAAATGCAGGGATGGGAGTAGATATTCTGCTGGGGTGGGGCTGCGTTGATTCCCTTGGACTCCGTGGAGCTCTGCAATACTGTTGCTTTGGGCCTTGGTAAGATGGGCTGGGGTCTCCATGCCCTGGGTGACATGTTGGCAAAGGAGGTGCCTATTGGGGCCAGTGGGGGAGCTGGCTCCCTGGAGGGCTTAGGCCAACCAGCCATTCCTCCCCATCCCCACACATTTTTCTCCTCCTGCTCCCTCTCATCATCACACAAACATGCACATAGTACCTTGGGGGTGGACAAATTGGGGGGTGTGGGTATGGACCCCATTTCCACATTCCTGTGGCAGCTTGCCCCCCAATTTTATTTGCAAATTAAACACTTCCACCAATGACATTCCACACAAACACACACTTAGGGCCTTGGGAGTAAGCACATACAACAACATTTGGCAAGGGGATCTTTCAGCCTCATCCCAGGTGCCGGTGCCCACTTCCAATTTTAAACTGCACTTAGACACAGAGGGCTGTGCGGGGAAGAGGGGTGGTGTGGTGGCATCAGCTGGTGTAGGCCAGACGATGCCTGCACCGCCCGCCCACCACAGCCACAAATACACCTCATCAACACCCAACACTGTACTGGAGCAGGCGGAGGGATACTAGGGTTCTTAGCACACCTCTGTTGTTGCTTGGCTTGCCGAGGCTGGAGGCTAGGAGGGGGAGCTGGCCATCTGGCTGGGGTCTGGGTGGTGGGTCGCTTTGCTCGACGTTGGGTGGGGGAGCCTGCTCATCAGCACCCCAGCAGAAAGGGTCGAACTCTGGGAACCAGTGATGGTTGTACCCCATGTGCAGCAGTACCAGGACCAGAGTGAATAGGGTGTGTATGGGGAGTATGATTGGGTGTCTGGCGTGCATTTTTGTGAGTCTTAGATTGTATGTATATGTGTGAGCATGAGGGAGGGAGTGTGTGGCTGTGTTTGTGTATGACTGTATGTGTCAGGTGGGGCCTTTGACTCCTCCCCTCTCCTGGGACTTCTTTTGCTGCTATACATCTTCGCCTCCCCTGTCACACTTGGTGTGGAGTGTGGTGTCTTGGTCTGCCTGAGTGTTCGCGGCTCTCGGGTCAGGGGGTTTAAGATCTTTGGCGACTGCCTGATTAATCCCGGTGGCTGCCTGGTGGGATCTGGGTCCCTGGGCTCTGTTGGGTCCCCATTGGGGCTGGTCGCCCCTGGGTCCCGGGTCGCTGGGTTCCGGGCTCAGCCGACTTGGGGGTGAGAAGCTGCGGGCGGGCCTGTGGGCTTGCCACTGATATCCCCCGGGACTCTGCCGGCTGCTGGTTGTGGCCCCCCGGGGCAATCCTCTGCGCCTCTTGAGGGGGGCAGGGGCTTTTCTGTTTGCAGTCTCCCTGGGGTCCCTGCGCTCTGGGGCAGCTCCTGAATCTCTTAGACTTGGAGCTCCCTCCATCTCCGGGGGCAGATCTGTGGCCCCTCACACTCTCTATTGGATGCTCCGATAGAGAAACCTTACATATACAAGCGCGTGTACACACACAGGTGCTCACATGGTGCTCTCGTAAGTATGGACTTGGGCATTATCAACTAGGGATGAGCGAGTACACCACTATCTGTATCTGTATCTGTATCTGTTCAACCAACTAAATTATCTGTATTTGTACTCGGAATGGGCGTGGCATAACCCGGAAGTGGGCGTGGTATAACCGGAAGTGGGTGTGGTTTACATCAATATATTATTTTAAGTTTGAAATTCTGTTTTGCCTTGGCCCCCAGAATGCCTTGAAACGGCCCTGGGTGTGTGACTGAGTGTTGAAGGTGATCTGAATTGTATCAGATGTATAAATATTACATGTGTATAACTTATTGTTTTATACAGGTGAAAATGTGTAGTGGAGATAAATCTACCTACATTTTACTTTTCAACACTTTGTTTTGTTTTCTTGTTTTTATTTAACTATTTCCTGTCCTGTCTGTCTCTCATCTTCCTGCATCTCCTCTAAACTCTCCAGAAAAACTGCTGCCTGGATTCTTACTTTTTCACCTCGCAGTTACTTCTGAGCAGATCAAAGGGATCTCCTGACCGCAAAGCAGAGAGTGCGTTTCAATGCTACATCAGTGAGGTGAAATCACCGCGGCACAGGTGATGAGCTCCGCAGTAGCAGAGCGCTTCAGGCACAAATAAGACATAAAGTAGAGAACATGTGCGGACATGAACGATCGTGTGTTCATTATAGTTTTTGGTAGCGCCACTTTGAGAATGGACTGTGCGCTGGAGGCAGCTGCCTGGAGCGCACCAACGATGTGACCTGAGTGAGAATAGTCTCTCACAAGGCACTGTGGTTGCAGGGGTTGACAGGTACTTGCATGCAACAGGTTCCAGTCTGGAATGTGCTTCTTCTTTCTTCAACCACCACTGTAATGGACAGTGTCCAATATCCATTTTGGGCTCTACTTTGTACCGATCTAGACAGCGCTCCATGGACAGCATTGTCCATGCTAGCAAGCTTTTCCTCTCCTCTTTTTCTGCTGCTTCTAATCATTTCCAGCAGGTCAGACACCAGCATAGCACAATGTTGCCCTCCTTCAGAGCCGCTCACGAGTTTGAGGCGTCGGATTACGTAAAATTTGAAAAACTGCATTAATCACGTAAAATTTTTTAATGCATTAAACATTTCACATTAACTAAATTAACATGTTATTTTTCCCAGCACTACTGAAAAGGTTTCTTCAAAAATTCCAACCAAGGTTGAGATATGGAAATTCTCCATTGTCAGCAGTTGCTTATGGGTGTGAATAACTGGGGTTTTGGTTTTGCAACGTCACTGCCAGCAATAACAATGCTCTGACTTCACACCTGTATTTACCCGTGCTTGCTTTACAGGCTTTATGTAGAAGACCACAAGTGAAAGATGACATTAAGACTGGTGATTACTCACCCCCTGATTATTCTAACTTAAGGAATGTTTTTTGGTGAAGATGCCAACGACTTGGGAAACTACTGCCGCCTTCAGGCTTGGCAAGCCTATAAACACTCCTCACAACACTCTGGATTGTTCGCTGAAAATGAGGTGGTGTGAACCCAAGTTTTCGTCCTAGACAGACGAGGGGTATTCGGGTTTCCAAAAACCCAGCAACTTGTGTACATAGAGTCAGTTTTCAGGATAGAGTTTCTCCCTCACCTTTCATTTACACCAAGTGTAGAACAGAAGCAGCCCAGTTTACTTGTGGCCTTTAGGCCCTGTCCACACGTAGCCGGGGATCTGCCAAAACGTAGATATTTTTCTACGTTTTGGCCTGTCATCCACACGAAAACGGATCTTTTTAAAAACTCCGGCCAAAGTGAAAATCTGCGTTTTCTCCGTTTTGGGTGTCTGCGTGTGGACAGACAAAACCGGAGTTTTAAGGTCCGCTACGTCACTTTCCGCAACAAAAAAATGCTGACATCACGTGTGTGACCTGTGTTTACACTAGCCGACAGCATGGATGCCCTCAGAGCTGCGCTCGCTTTATCAATTGTCCAAGCGCTTTTTCCTTGTTTGTTTTTGCAAGCGGAATTACTGCTCCTTGCGGAAGACCACAGACGAAGGACGAGGTTAAGAACGGGGGAAGTACTGCCACCTACAGGTCTGGCACGTCCTTAACAACGTATTTATCTGGGTACGTGTGGACAGAGTTTTTGTTTAAAACGAGGGGGTGTGGATGCAAGTTTTTGGAGGGGCGGATATTCGTTTAAAAAAAACCCGGCTACATGTGGACTAGGCCTCAGAGCATTTACCCTGGCTGAAGTGTGGTGTGGTCCAGATGAGAAGCTATAGAAGGTTTCTGCATGGCTTCAATTTTGTTTCTGGACACTGCATGCGGTTCGCCATGAAGTTGAAGAAATTACAAGAGCCAGACCGAAAATCAAACGTGCATTTGGCTTATTCCAAAATAAAATGGGGTTGCATCATTATCCAGCTTCTTTTATCATTACTAACAACAACAATACTGTTCACAGTCTATGACGAGTGTGGCTTTTGTGTACCAGCTCTTGCCTATACACGCAGCGATTCTCGTATGAACTCGTAAGCAACCGTTCAGCACATGATTTGCAGTCGGTGTAAATGGCAGTCTGTCTGAAAGCTGCATGGATTCTGGTCTACATTCATTCTGGACTCAGTGTGAATGAGGTGTTAGGTCTCTGTTCAGCTCCCACTGTTTATCAGTCTCATCAGTCTTCAATCGGTTCTCACCGATTATCACACTGTCCCGTTTCCATGCACTCCCCTCAGTAAAGAAGCTAGCTCCTGCTCAGCTTCACATTGGTGTTGTTCATGCCTGAAAGCTCTTGCATTCCTCAGATCTGTTCAAAGTTCCTGGCTGCTTCCTGGATCATTCCCTGCATTTTGGTTCTCCATCTCCTCAGTGACAACCTCACTCTCATGTCTCTGGACATTTGAACATATTAGAAAATTGTATGTGAGAAATCGATAGTGATATGTATCTTCCAATAAGCTGAGAATCTATTAATCATTGCAACTAAGAGGCAGCAATAACATCTGCATGACTTTGCCCTTTGTTAGCAACTATGTTTTAGTGATGTATGCTTTATGCCCCTCATCACCCAACGCCATGAGTGATTCCAAACAGAAAATGTGCTGATTTGCTCTTATAAACTACGAGTTGTTGAGGTGTAGGATCAATAAACGAGACTTCTGATCAGCACTGAAACTGTGTTGAAGCCACACGTTTCAGGACATTACTTAATGACACCATTAAAGCTCTCCGCACTGCGTGGGACTCCTGTGGTTCGGTATTAGGGACGCCCAGTCATGGGTCAGAGAGCACAGTGGGTGGAGAGGGCTGGGACCTGATTTAAAAATAGGACCTGGTTACTACTGCAGCAAAAAAAATGGAGATCCACATGGTGCAGAGGGGAGACTGAGAGGGGTTTGTAGGGTAGGTGGATCTGATACACAGAAAATAAAGGGACCTAAAGAGTGCAAAAAAAAGTGTTCATGAGGAACAAAGACTAAATTAATGCACATGTGATATAACCAAACAGACCCAATCTAATACAGGGCAAACAGGGGAGAAAGAAATGATTAATAATAGTAAATGAGCTTGTTTCAAAAATGCAAACAGGAAGTTGCCCTTGAAATACGGTAAAACTGTAGCTGAGGGTTAACACAACGACTAAAAGAGCAACTCTTGAATTATGTACCGAAGCCGTGAGCCTCGTCAGAAGCTAAATGTACTTCTAAAGTGCGTTTTGAAGGGTTTTATTTGGTGCTGAAAGTACTTTTGAAAACCATTTTATTCAGAGAAAAGCTGTGCTGTTTAAGTGGCAGACAAGCACATGCAGGGTGTGGACCGCAGCGCTCCATTAACGGTGAAAAAAGTGTCCACATCCCTTCGACCCTCTTTGACAATCTCACAGCTTTTTACTAAAACTTTGACATTGAGCATTTAGAATATCAAAACCAGGATTATTTTGTTTCTGTATAACGTATCTGAATTGACTGGTTAATGAAACTGTGCTTCGTCTTCTATGAGACGCAGGATGAGCCGTTGCTTTCACACTCAAAGATCTACTTTCACACAAAATCACATTTGGAGAAATAGATGATCCGCCATGACAGTAATTGGATTTTCAATTATTTGAGTGAACTGCCTAGACAATCTGTTTATTATCATATACTTTTTTAATTCCTCTGTGAGAGACACACTTTTTTCTCTGAAATTGGAAATCATCAGTAAATTAAATTGTTTGGCTTTTTCTTTATTTTCCACTTTTTTGCTTAAAGACCAAAAATAACGACAATCATTGTGGAAAGCCAACTTGCATCATGGTTTTGCATGACATCATTATGGTATTGCATGCAGTTTCACCTGTACAGGTAATGAATGAACTCACCTAGTTTTGGTGTGAGTGCGGTCAGATCCAGGTGGCTGTGCTGGTAGTCATGGTGATGGTTCCCTGTGGGAGAAGAGGTGAAAAGCTTTAGTAACTTGTATTCAGAAGAAGCACACAGAGACAAATTTGGTCATTTTGAGGACAGGCCCTCTCAAATATCTCCTGAGAAGAGAGGTTTCTGCTCCCAGTGATTCCCAGCATCAGAGATTTTTTTTATTCAACGAGCCAGTGTTAACTCTGGTATATGAAATACAAACAATGGGTATTTATTATAGCTATTTATTCTCTAATGTTACTAAAACAATCATATTATGACCTGTTTTATTTTATTATCTAATCAAATAACAATATAAAAGCATTAGAGAAATAAAATTGGCCCTTGCCATCTTTAGACCCTCCACCAGGGGGCAGTGGGTGGAGATATGAATGGATATGCCGGTATTTAAAAAAAATGCTATTTCTAATACGTTGTGTGGACACATTAACCTTTCCATGTATGATTTATGATATATTAACCAGCATTTTTTCTTTCATTCATCTTTAGATGTGAAAGAAACACATTTCAACAAAACCATTTTAGCATTCAATTCATGAATAATTTATTACATGTCCACTCCAGTGGACAGCATGCATTCTGAACATGAAAAATGTTGGCTTGACTCATAGCTGCTCTTAATAGCAAAAAACAAACAAACAAAAACAACAAGTTTTGAGTAACTGTCCACTCTGCATGACTCAGATCAGGTCAGACATGGTTCGATGTGTGGCAAAAATAGTCTAAAGGAGTTGTAGAAGCTTAGGACCGGGAAAATAGAAAAAAGGAAATTACAATAAAACAAAACTTCCCCAACAACTATGTGCAGGAGTCTCATTTATCAAACATGGTGTAGAATCCTTACTAAAACCATACTTAAGCTCAGCAAAAAAAGTACTTACGCCAAGTAGGTTTTGTGATCTATCAAACATGGAGTACACACAGCTGCACGCAATCTCTGCTTCATAAATCAGAGACTAACGAGAATGTTTCTCAGCTGCATTTTAGTCACATCCCGCCCTCACCACGCCCACTTACTGCCATAAATAGTCAATGCAAAGTGCCTTGTGGATCTCATGCATATACATAAGTCGGCTGTTGCAGCATTTCGATCACGACCGCAGATCAAGGAAGCGTTATTTCACAGAAGCAGAAGTTGAGGTACCTGTGGGTGAGGTGGAGAAATGAAAGGAAGTGCTTTTGCAAAACAAATAAGAGAAAATCCACGGAGTGGCACAGCGTTGCTGAAGCCGTCAATGCTGTGACTTCTTCAGAGAGATCTGTGGCGAATTTACAAAAATAGTCCTATTGGGATTTGATCTCTGGACTCCCAAGTGAATGTCACATGTGCTAACCAATCACCCAAACAGAGATCTCCCTTGAGTAAGTAGCCAGGGTGCATGATCAATCAGGCCACAGTGACAGGACACACACACTGTCACAGACGCATGACATTCTGTCTCAGTCTGTCCCCCTGCTGATATTGTGCATTCCGTATTCTGCACTTCAGGCTCTGTGTGTGCGCGTGAGTGTGTGTGTGTGTGTGTGTGTGTGTGTGTGTACTCGCACGTGTGTGTGCATGTGGGGGGTCTTGTTCTGTGTGAAAACGAAGTGGTACAAGTGATAATGCTGCAGGATTTCATAATTGTATCTTCTCAGCAGCAGCACTGCAGGTGCTCTCCGTGTCCAACATGTGTGTAAGCCAGGTCCTTAGTCAACTTAAAGTTGCGCACATTTTTCCGCTAAGTTTTCTTTCATAAATCCCAAAGTTTGCGTGGAAAGTTGCTTACGCAGTTTTCCGACTCCGTTTTGTGCGTAAGCCAGCTTGATAAATGAGACCCCTGTTCTTTTGGTCCAGATCATCTGTGGTTTGGTTGATGCTGATTGTTGACTTGAGTTCTCTGTTCCTTCTCGGCTATAGAAGCTCTTGTTGTGTTCCCCTCTGCTTCTCAGAAAGAAACAAAGCCAGGCATTTGGCTCAAATTTGCTCCATACACCTGATCAGGTTGGACTGAGGTCAGATCAAGTTCACAATATTAACAAACTGGAGTTATCTAGAACCAAACCGAGATCTCCTCCTGCACTGTGTCCCACACCCTAGTGAGATGACTGTGTTCCCACCTGCACAAACAAACTGCCTCACGATGGAGAATGGATCAGGGCTGGATTCCTCTGGATTAAACACTGCAGGTGTGAAAACACCCCAACAAGACCTGCTGCTAACCCTCTAGTCTGTTGGAGATGAATGTGAGACATCTCTCACTGAGATATCCTCATGGCTTCGTGTCAGCTGCCTTTTACAAATGGAGATAAATCACAAACAACAGAACTTTTGGGATTTTTGTCCATTTTATTGTGAAAATTGCGAATTTTTTTAATTAATTTCTTTATTTATTTAATCACTCACTTACATTTTGGGAGGATGAGAACGACGTGAGATGAACCATCTTGTTTTCAAGTGTTTCCTCCATAGAATTTACAATGAGAACATAAAACAAGATAACATAACATTTTCCATGCAAATGTAATAATGAGGTGGCGCAGTGGTTAGAGCTGTTGCCTTGCAGCAAGAATGTCCTGGGTTCGCTTCCCAGCCTGGGACCTTTCTGCATCGAATTAGCTTGTTCTCCCTGTGCATGCATGGGTTCTCTCCGTGTTCTCCGGCTTCCTCCTACAGTCCAAAAACATGACTGTTTAGGTCACATATGTCAGACTCAAGGCCCGCGGAGCATTTTTATGTGGCCCGCAAGATAAATATAAAAAATATATTAAAACTGGCCCACTGGCCGATTTTACTGCAAAGACTTCAACTCCCATGATGCCGACGCGCCCCCTCCTTTGTGTTTTTTCCAGCACCTGCTGCCGGTGTGTGCAGCTCCGCTGTCTCAGACAAACTACACTCCTCTGACTCAGCGCCGAGTTCACTCAACTGTTTTCTGACGTTGAAGCCCAGAAACGGAGATTCTAGCCGCTCAGTAATGTGTTCACGACTGAAAGAGAAAGTGTTCCAACTAACGTCCAGACAGAGCTGATATAACTCCAGCGAGCAGCGACACACTCAAACCAGCACGACTCTGTGGCTGCAGTCGTTGTGTTTCCTCCCTGACACACAACAACGTGGTCAAGCTGCTCAGACATGTTCATCAGCACAAACCTATGTGAGCACCTGTTGTCATCTAATGTTGTCATTATTATGATGAAGATGAACAAAGCAACAGGAGTGTCCTCCTCAGCTCAGATCAACCCCATGATGCAGGTATCTGGCTGGAACAGGTGAGCATCACAGTAAACCAGTGGAGCAAACTGAGCTTTAAATATGTTGGTTTTATGCTCTTTTTCTGCTCCAAAACATGAAAGTTAACAGGTGAGATGTTGCATTTTCATTTAAGATAAAATGATATTTTTATTTTGTTGTTGGCCCGTGAGCAAAGATTTAACCTACAGTAAACAGGAAGTGGAAAGGCTGCAGATAGATGAATAGAATAGAAAATCCCTTTATTGTTCCTCAGTGGGGAAAGCTAGACGTCACAGCAGCGATGACACGTATTACAGGAGAAAAAAGGAGAATGAAAAATAAGAAAAATGAATAAACAAGAAAACATAAATCCTGAATAGATTTTAAAAATGCTGATTATACCACAAGTAATGAATACCACTGATGCCTTTTATTTAAAACTGACTTGCTCGTGTGTAATTTGGTCATGGGTGTAATTTGGGGGGGGGGGGGGGGGGGGGGGGGGGGGGGGCATGTCCCCTCCACTTTTTCCAAAGACAAGGTTTGACCTCTGCAATTTTTACCATCCAAAAACAATATTATGCCATATTAAATTGACACTGGTTGAGCTCTAGGACCAAGCGGAAAACAACCGTTTGTGTTGACACCTGTTTCCCATTAGAGCATACTGTAAAGATACCCCCCCCCCCCCCCCCCCCCCCCTAAAGTGAAAATTACGCTCATGAATTTGGTTATTCCACATTCAGTGTTAGTGCAGAAATGTTTGTTTCCAGATTTAGAGGTTCGAAATTGCATACATGTTGATAAAGAAAATGTGCAAATTTGCCGTCACTTTTAAAAAAAATATTAAGTTTGGCCCTCGACTCCGTCCCAGAGTTTCATTTCGGCCCCTTGTGAGTTTGAGTTTGACACCCCTGGTTTAGGTGGATTGGTCTGTCCAAATTGTCCTTAGGTGTGTGTGTGTGTGTTTGTGTGTGTGTGTGTGATTGTTTGTCCTGTGTGTCTCTGTGTTGCCCTGCGATGGACTGGCTCTCTGTCCCGGGTGTACCCTACCTGATTGCCCGTTGACCGCTGGAGATAGGCACCAGCCCCCCCCCCCCCCCCCCCCCCCAATGGATGGATGGACGTAATAATGAAGCAAAAGCAAAAACACAACATAAAAAACTGATCAAGTAAACAGATACATAAATACACATTTTGCTAATTTAAAGCAGCTGGTTGGATTTATGTCTACAAGTGAACTGTCTTTGATGTCCTGATCTCTTCGAAAAACAAAGTAATTGTTACTGAAGACAAAAAGTAAATGAAAACTACTTTTTTCAGATAAACATTGTTGTTTAACATTCAGAAAAGAAAACAATGGGTTTCCTGCACTTCTACAAACATATTTATACAACCAGCAGCCCTGCTGTGAAATATGCCTCTGCTTTAGAATACACACGTTTTCTTCATTCATTCAACACAACAGCAGGAAACAAATGTCATTAAATCCTTAAATTTCATGAACAGAAGCGGCTCTACTAATATGAAGACGGCTAATTTCCTCAGTTTCAGGGTTCTCCGTCGGACTTTTCTTACATTCCAGTCAGGTTTGGCTGTTTCTCTGCATGAAGGCTGTGATTTGTTTCATGTCTCAGGTGACCGATAAGCTGTCACTTCTCCAATATGATACTGTTTCTTCCTTTGGACAGAATCCACATTTTTCCTCTGCTTTGGGAAAACGATTGATCAAAGTGTTTTTAGCAGGAGCATGGAAGCAGCTTTGCCTCGCAGTGATCCATCATTGCAGAGGAG